TTTTTTTATCTAACGGCTCTAGAATGAGGGGTCAAACTTTAAATTTGACACCGGTGTCAAAGGATCCTACCCTAGATATATATATATATATATATATAGGAAAGAGATCATTTGACTCAAAAGTAAGATTTTTAAGCCTTACTACTTATTTCAACCGTTGATTTCTGCTCATTTAACGGTTATAACTTAGGAAGTCATATTAATTAATTAATTATTAATTACATTATAAATGATAACATTTGATTTAGTTCTATCAACACCTGAAATGAGGAGTAAAATTCATGATGACTTTTGAGCAAAATTCTTGGAAAACAAACAAAACCCATAAGAAGAAATAGCCAATAGAACAAAGTGAATATTCATTTGATTACATATTATAATAATAATAATATTAAAGTCACAAAGAGTACCCCTACCTATCAAGACAAACTGCAAAAAGAAGCACAAGTAAAGCAGAAGAAGAAAACTCCGTTTAAAAGACAAAGAAGGAAGGAAATGGGTTACCCATAATTATCCAGTGTCCCATTCAATTCAAGTTTGGAACTTTAGGCTTTGTTTGGGAGTTCAGAGGGGAAGCAGGGGAAGAAAATTGAAGGGTATTTTCTTCCCTTGTTTGGGAGTTAAAAAAATAATAAGAGAGAAATAATAGAGGGTTAATGAGATATTTTACCGTTTTACCCCATTTTTAAAATTAATAAAATTATTATATTTTACAAATTAAATTAAATTAAATTAATAATTCCTAACAAAATTATTTTTGTACTTTCACAATACTACTAAAAAAGACATATTTTCGATGAAATTTCTACGTTGGAAACGATGAAAATTTTGTCACAAAATTATTTTTTTCACAAAATACTTTTCATCGAAAAGCGAAAAAAAAATTTCTCCGATGAAAATTTTACAAAAATAAATTTTTGACGAAAACAATTTCCTCCATCAAATGTTTTAAACGAAAAAAGAATTCTGTCAAAAATTTTGACGGGATATTTTCCGTTCAAAATTTTGATGGAAATGTGTTCTCACAAAAATTTCGACGGAAATTGTTTTGTCAAATTTTTTGAGGGAAATGTTTCATTCGAAACTCTCGACAAAATTTAGATTCTACAAAAAAATTTGACAGAATATTTGTTCCGTCAAAAATTTTTATTGAAATATTTTTCGTCAAAAATTTTTACGAAAATATTTTCTGTCAAAATATTTTTACAGAAATGTGTTCCGTTGAAAATTTTGATGGAAATATTTTTTATCAAAAAATTTGACAGAATATTTGTTCCGTCAAAAATTTTTATTGAAATATTTTTCGTCAAAAATTTTTACGAAAATATTTTCTGTCAAAATATTTTTACAGAAATGTGTTCCGTTGAAAATTTTGATGGAAATATTTTTTATCAAAAAACTTGACGAAAATATTTTTTGTCTAAAATTTTCAATGGAAATATTTTTTATCAAAAAACTTGACGAAAACTTTTTTCTACATAATATAAATTCTGTAAAGAATTTTGATAAAATTTTTGTTGGAAATGTGTTTCGTTGTAAATTTTGATGGAAATATTTTCCGTCAAAAAATTCGATGAATATGTTTTTTTATGAAATATTGTGACAAAATTTAGATTCCGCAAAAGAATTTTGACAAAAAATAATTTCCTTCAAATTTTTTTACAGAAATGTTTTTTGTCACAAAATTTGATGGAAATTTTTTTCGTCGAAAATTTTTGCTAAAATTTTTGATGGAAATATTTTCTGTAAAAATTTTGATGTAATTGTTTTAAGTCGAAACTTTTTTATGGAAATGTGTTACGTCAAAATTTTGGACGGAAATATTTTCGTTTAAAATTTCGACGGAATTTAGATTCTATCAATAATTTTGACTGAATTTTTTTTCCGTAAAAAATTGATGTAGTGATTATGACAAAATATGATTCCGTCTCTAATTTTGTCTTGAGTTTGACGAAAATATTTTGACGTATATGATTTTCATCAAAAATTTCAGCACTATTTTTGACAAAATATTTTTTGTCGATAAATTCTGTTGGTATTTGAGACTTTTCTAATAATGTCACATTTAAAAATGATTCACATTTATATTGTTTTCACATTTTAATGCTAAGGGTAGATAAGTAATTTTTAATATTTTCTCCCTCAAACCCCCCAAATTGGGGGAACTTTAATTTTAAGAAAAATGAGGGTTTTATAGGGTTTAGTAAAAATCCCAATTTCTTTTAGGGGTGTGCAAAATAACCAAAAAACTGAACCAAACCGCTCTTAAAATAATCGGTTTTTAAAAACCAGTTCATGAACCGAACCGATTTTTAAAGAACCAGTTCATGAACCGAACCAGTTTAAGAACCGAACCAGTTTAACCGAACCGAACTGTTTTCGAACCGAACCGAACCGTTTTCAAATCGAACCAAATTGATTTTTATAACTTTATTTTTAAATTTTAATTTTTTTTTCTTTTCAAAAGAAGGTCGACCCGAACCGATTTTGAACCGAACTGAACCATTTCCAACCGAACCGAATCGATCTACTTCCGAACTGAACCAGTTTTGAACCGAACCGAACCATTTAAACCAATTCGGTTCGATTTTTCAAAAAATCTGGTTCGGTTCGACCCATGCACATCCCTAATTTCTTTTCCTCATTTTTTTTAAAGTCACAAACAAGAGAAGGACTTACTAAAATCCTCCCTTTCCTTTTCTTCCTCTCCTAAAACTAACTCGCAAACAAAGCCTGATATTATTAAACAAGAGAAAGAGACAGAGAAAGAATCAAAACCTGAGTTGAGAATGTGACAACGATGAAAGGAGGAGGGCGCGTCAAGCAATTTCAACGCATAAATTATTATTATTATTATTGAACTCTTTTTTCTTACTTTTTAATATTTTATTATTTTGTCCAAAAGTTTTTTGAATTTTTGGTAAAATATTAAAAATGAAAAAAAGGATCATTTTTCAGAAATTTAAAGATATAATGGCCCACACTTTAGATGATCTAAGATTAATAATTTCAGATATTTTTAAAATAAAAATGAACTTCAGTAGTATATTCTTTTTGTTAATTCAAAATGATAATCTAGTTAGTTTTCAGTTGATAGTAAGAATATAATAAAATAAAGAAGGGAAAATAGTCTTTAAAGTTACTTTAGAAAAATTATCTGCAGTTTTAAAAATATAACTATATACTCTCGGAAGTACATAGTTATATTTTTAAAGTTGCAAAAGTTTTCTCTCTTCTCAGAATTGTCAGCTGACACGGCGTAGAAAAAAAAAACAATTTTTTGATAACTATGTACTTCCGGGAGTACATAGTTATTTTTTTGAAATTGCAGAAAAATTCTCTAAAGTTACTTTAGAAAAATTAAACCCAATAAAGAATAATTTATTTTTACCTATGTTATGATAACACACGAATTTAAAAATGAATTGGACCAAATACAAATTTCTCATATTATATTTGGGAAAAGTATGTGTCATTTTAAAGGATGTAAAGTTGTATCATTTTAAATGAGAGAAAAAGATATATTACAGGGGAGAGAGAATGGACAAAACAAATAAATAAAGATGTGGGTCCCACCTCTTTATAAGAGTGAAATGACACAAGTTGTGTCATTTAAAAGGATAAACATTTTTTTCATTATATTTACCTCGTGTCAACAAATGATGTTAAAAATTATAAACCTTACATTGAAGTCAATGCATAATATTTTTTTGAGGCTAGAAGGCTCCTCTAATATCTTCACAAACTTCACATCTTTAAGTCAGTTATGAAACTAATCCCGAGTGCAGAGCGAGTCAAAGATTGAGGTTCTAAAACATTGAAATTGTGCAAATACATAGTTTATTGTCTGTGTCTTTTCAATTAGCTATTTTTTTTTATTCGGATTAGTCGAAATACTTTATACCAACGATTACAACAAAAATGGAAAAATATGCTTTTATAAGGTGGAATGAAAGCTCACCAGCAACGATTTGAAAGGTCGCTGAAGTTCTGACCGGCCTCTCTTAAACCTTTCGTTATTCTAATCTATTAACCATGACTTTGGCAATAACTTGCCCACCATTATCAAACCCACGGACCATATTCTTCGCCAATCTGAGTTTTGCTCACATCTCGAATGAATTCAAGGACATATTCAAAGAAATTCTGACGGCAGTGGATTGTGAATCCACCACGCGCGGGTTCAATTCCCGTCGTTCGCCCGGAGATCTTTGCAAAATTGTGCTCAATTTCATATGTGGCAATTCCGCCAAGATCTCTTCGTTAGTTGGGGGAAGAATCTGCATGAACCCGGCCAAATTATAACTGTTCACATTGACTCTGTAGTAATAAGATCAGCAAGCCCCTTCTTTTATTTTTTTATTTACGAGTCAATAAAAATATTTTTTCTGTTCAATTCACTCAATATGAAATACTTTATTATATTCAAATACTTTCATATAATAATAGTAGAATCGCTGGTACAGAGTCAAATATAAATACAAATGGTCCAATGGGAGCAAGAATCTCCAGGAACATTTGGAACATTTCATTTCTGAGCAGAATAGCCACCTCTCTTCTAAAATGTACAAATAGTATAACAAAAAAAATTGTATTCAAAACTTTCTTGACTACATTGTTAGAAATCAAATTTAGACTTTGCTACCTCATCTCTAATCTCCACCATACTAGAAGTATTTAAAATAAGGTAGAAGTCAAAAGTTATAGAAGATTATGGATGTTTCTAGAAATTTAAGGAAACTTGTGGAAAATTATGAAAACTTGAAGACTCTAGAAGTAGTTGAAAATTTTATCAGTTGTCAAGTCACGATGAGTTGTACCTAGTGTGGTGTGGTTATTATAAGTAGTCAAATTCAATTTGAAGACTACAAAATTGCAAGAATGGTCAAAGGTGGAGACTAATGGTTGTAATAAGTTGTCAAGTTCAAGTTGAACTCTTTCATATACTAGGCATTTAGATGTAATGAGTGAAAAGAAAGAAAGTGTGTAAAAGTGTGAAAAAAAGTGTTGAAACAGCACTAGCACCTAAAGGTGTTTTGCACTTGCAAGTTGCACCGGAGCTCCTTGAAGTGAATAAAAAACAGGCATAGCCTATGACTAAGCCAGTGGTTGTTTGTTAAAAAAGCAATAGTTGCTTGGACTAGCAAAGTAAAAAGAGGAAACTGAACCAGCCAGCAAACCAAAAGAAAAAGCAAATCCCATCCAATTTCCTTGTTGAAAGCCACCAAATTTGACCAAACTGCAAGAAGGACATAATGCATGAATGCCACAGGCACTAAAACGTGGAGTTTGTAGTACAAGTGAAAAATACACCTAATCTAATATTTTCATTTTTTATTAACATGTGGTTTACATTTGTTTCTCTAGAAAGTTCTATTTCTAGATCATTCCATACCATACATTTTTCATTAACTCTCAAGTCTTTCTAGAATAATCTACGTAAGTTTTAATCTTAGTCAGAGAATTCTATAAATGTGCAGCATATTCTAATACTGGGAAGCATTTTGCTAGCTTTTCTTCTTCAAGTGCAGTTCAGGAGAGCTGACAATGAAACATTTTGCTTGCATTTCTTCTTCAAGTAGTCAAGAAACAACATCAGTTGGAGTTAACCCACAATTATCATCACCACCTCCGTCTTCCACTATGTAATCATTTACTGTTTTTTCTTTTGCATTTTAATTGTTTTATCCCAATGTTTTTATGATTTTCAATTTCTAAGGGGGGAGGGGGGATTTTGATTAGATATATTTAAATTTGTTGATATCTTTTGCTTACAAGTTCACATTCTTATTTATCTATTCACTACAGTTTTAGATGGTCACCTCTCTTATGGGTTGGTGTTGTTGTTGGTGTTGGACTTTCTGCACTATTTTCATTGGTAAAATCATAATTACAACTCTGCTTTACATATGCTGATGATGAGGCTTTTCTTTGCTGTATGTTTAGTGAAGTGAATATTTTTGCAGGTAGCTACAAGATTAAAGGTGAGTTCCGCATTATTACCATTTAAATAAATAATTACGAAACTATAGTAATTTTAAATCTATTTGTGAATGTGTAACAATCACGGTCGCGCTTAAATTTAGGAGCGAATTGTTAGAATTGAATATCCACACAGATGCAAGAGACAACCATACTTGTGTATCTACAAAAAAAACTTTTCTTTTCTATTCTTGCTCTTTTACTTTTTCTCTTGATCTACTTTATCTACAAACTATCAAAGGCTATTTATAAGCTATAAAACTGACCAACATAACTCTATACATAACACTCTCATTACTTTATAACTGACATAACTGACTCGTTAATATTCTAACTGATATAACTGACTCATTAATATTCTAACTGACATAACTTCAAACTCATGAATGTCCACTAACACAAACTTAAGGACATGACTCTTCACATTTCTATTTTCTATTTTCTATTTTTATCTCATTAAAATTTAACCCAACAAAACTCCCCCTTAAATTTTAATTCTTCTTTTTTGAATTTTCCACCGGTTGATTTTTTTCGCGCTGCTGCGCTGCTTCCATGTTACACTCCTTTCTTCAATTTTTTTTTTGTCTGGCGGTTCCTTCATTGGTGGAAGATAGACAATCTTGAATTTTTCTCCGTCGACCTCATCCTCCGATATACTTCCACATCCATTCTTACACGTATGATCATCACACAAGTCATCATACTGATCAGTATCTGTATCACTATAATGTCCCATTAGTTTTACAACACCTATGCCAATTTTAATAATTTCAGATTCAACATGTGCTACATTAATAGCACGTTGGGCCTCTTCAACCACAGTAACCCCATCACTCATTGAGGACCGTTGATTCCCATCATCAAGCAAATAACTCAACGCATCATTTTCTGATTCCGCCCCACGATCTTCTTCTGGTTTACGCTTGAGCCAAAATGATTCCGCCATAAAAGTAACTCTAGGCTCCTCATCGCCGGGTTCCCTATCCACAATCACACCTTCCATTTTTTCGCTCTCAGTCTCTTCATCGCCGGGTTCTTCTTCATCGAGAAGAGCTTCCACGCGCGTCATCAATGGAATCTCAGACCATCGTCCTCCAGGGAAATGGTCTCTTTTCGGTGGTGTCGACATCTTCCACTTCCACCATAAATTCAATGCAGTCTCCGACTTCTGACTTCCAACCCGAACCGCGCCTATGTCGGTCTCCGACATCAACCTCATCACGCCGGGGTCGAGCTCTTCTCCAAAACATGAACTCGGTGATTTAGCCAGGATCTCACCCAACCTGGTTATCAACACGGAACTCGGATTCGCGGTCTCCTCCATGCCGGTCTCCATCAAGCACCTCGGCTTCTCAATCTCCTTTCCGATTTTCGACTCTGTCTCCAGACACTCAGGTTCCACGAAGTCTTCTACCTCGACAATGGACTCGTCGTTCCCGTCCTTCTCCGCTTCGATCTCGGCTCCTTCGTTCTCCTCATCTTCTATCTCGGCTCCCTTGTTCTCCTCCTCTTCTATCTCGGCTCCTTCGGCCGCAGTCATCTCCATCGTCTTCTTCTCCGAGTCGTCTCTTACGCGTTCTGACACGTCAATCTCCTCCGCGGATGCGTTGCCGTTGGCAACCTCGGACTCCGCCATCTCGGTCTCTTCTTCATCCGCAAGATTCTCCTCATCTTCATCATCATAATTGATGATTTCATCTTCTTCTTCATCAATCAGATCAAACCGTCCGGGTAGATATTTCGCTATAAAGGCTATTTGAAAATTCTTCCACATGTTATTAAAATCGCGGCAGTCCTATGTACGGAACCATTTGATTGCGCTTCCTCTGAATCTACGCAAAGCTTCATGCCATTTGTCCTCTTCAAAGGTTTTTTCTCTCCGAAAATATTCTTTTAGACATAGTAAGAAGACTAATGCTTCATCTTTATCTCCATAAAAGAGTGGCACTTTCATCTCGTTCTTTTCCTCCATAGCCCAAGCTCTGATACCAATTTGTTAGAATTGAATATCCACACAGATGCAAGAGACAACCATACTTGTGTATCTACAAAAAAAACTTTTCTTTTCTATTCTTGGTTTCTTGCTCTTTTTCTTTTTCTCTTGATCTACTTTATCTACAAACTATCAAAGGCTATTTATATAAAACTGACCAACATAACTCCACACATGACACTCTCATTACTTTATAACTGACATAACTGACTCATTAATATTCTAACTGATATAACTGACTCATTAATATTCTAATTGACATAACTTCAAACTCATGAATGTCCACTAACACAAACTTAAGGACATGACTCTTCACCAGAAAACTCTTCACATTTCTATTTTCTATTTTTATCTCATTAAAATTTAACCCAACACGAATGGGGTTGAGTTGCGCTTAAATTTGGGCGCTACTCACACGCTTGAATATGGGCTCGACTACACCCTTTAGGCGTAACTGGTTGCTACCAGTTGTAAATAAGTTTCAAATTGCTATAATTTCATAATTTTTTTTTATTTAAATTGCAATATTTTTAAAAAAAAAAATCTCCCCAGCATTTTACCGCTCTCTCTAACTTTACTTTTCATGGGTTTTGACTGGATTCTATATAGAATTAGAATAACTAACCTTGAGCTTTTTATATACATTCAACATCTTTCTTTTAATCTCTTTTCAGAAATATGCAATGCAACAAGCTCTCAAGACCTTCATGGACCTGATGCATTCACAAAGTAACCAATTTGACAGTGCTTCCTTTTCTCCTGGATCTCCTTTTCCCTTTTTGATGCCTTCAGCACCTTCCACATCAAGTGTATCTCAATCTGCTGTCACAGTAGATGTATCTGCAACAAAAGTAGAAGCAGCCCAAGCTACCAATGTCAAAGATGAAGTGCAAATAAAGAACGAGCAAAAAAAAATTGGTAGCATGCAATACCTGCTTTGCACTTCCATTTCTTTCCAACAGGATGAGATCATGAGACGGACGTGTTTCATGTGAAATGTATAAATGGTGAGTTTGTGTGTCCAGTTTATGTGGTTTTTGGTAAATTAAGTAGAAGTTTATGTGTGCAGATGTTTTCTGATGTTGTCAGCTTTTATATCAATATAAAAGTTGAGACTTTTCCCTGTTTATTTCTTAACAAACTTTCTATTACAGATTTTGTAGATGTTTCTCCAGAACAACCTGTGCGGAAGAGTCCTTTTGAAAGCTTTAAAGATGTTGATGAATCTAGTTCATTCAAGGAATCACGGGTTCCGGAGGAAGTGAGTTTTTTTAAGATACAATTTTTTGCTAAAGTTTAGCGATTTGTGTTATTTTAATATGTAATAATGATGAGCATTTATTGCAGGCATCTCAAAACGGAGCTCCCTCTATCCAAGGTTTTGGTGATTCACCACCGGGTTCTCAATCTACACGTAAGCAAAGACTCGGTTGTACATTTCCCTCAGACGTTGTTAATGCTTAAGTATGAATCCTTCTTACCATTTTCTCCTTTTGTCTTTGCTGAACATTTTACATTTTTACTTTAATCAGATCAAATTGGGCCTTCTCCAGAAGAAGTCATTTCAAAGATTATGGCCAATCTTGCTATGGCATTTCAAAATCCTAAATTTCAAGCACCTATCATGAATGTATGTTCTAATTCACATACTTTATTAGTATTTCATATCAAAACTCTGATTGTATGTTCTTGTGGTTGCAGTGTTTACACAATCCGCTGAATATTGCTAAATATCAAAATGATGAGGAGGTATGCTGATACTTCTTTGACTTCAATTTTGTCTTTCTTGGTATCATTTGCTTTGTAGGGTTCTGTTTTCTCTCCCTATGTTTCTTGTTGGGTGTTCGTCGTGTATATGTTCTCTTTTCCATACTCTATCTACCATTAAATCCTATTTTTTGGTCTAGTTTGTAGTTAGTTTCAGGTTTATGTTATGTTCAGATCTTATTCATCCAATCATTATTACTCGAGTTATCTGAAGAGTAGTAGTCATAGTTTGCTACTTGATTCTAGCTTGTTAAAAGTTGTTGAATATCCTAGATTCAATAAATTAATCAGTAACAACATATGGACAAAACAAATAATCTTTCATAGTGAGTGAGTGATATAGATTCTAGTTGATGTTCTTACAATCAGCATGAAGACTCTTTATACTTTTATATACTAATGCGGAAAAAGGGGCTTTTAATAGGAATCTTTTGAATTTTTGTGTGTTTTACTATGTTTCTAATGAGTAAAGCTATAATAATTCCTTTCTATCTACCCGTAATTCCTTATGAATATTTGCTTCTTGTATCTAATAATTACTTTTTCCTATAACTCCAGGTTTTCCAGTCACTTCACATATCACTGATAATAGCTGATAAAGTGGTTGTCACAACCAACTCTTTCAACAACAAAGGCCATGGCAACCAAAACTTCTCTAATGCAGACATCAACAGTGTTTCGGGCAACAGGGCGCGTGCGTGTGTCCGTCGTATGCATCCACGTTTTAAATTAGATTAAAATTTAATTTTATAATTAGAAATCAATCAATTGATTCGATTGATTATTTTTTTATTTTTAACAATGTAGTTAAATTGTCAACATTTTGAATTGTGTTCAGCTATTGTACAAAATAATTACAACATATAATTTATGGAATGCAATATATTATTTTTAAAGGTTTGATAGGTCAAGTTAAACTTTGTATTTTTTAAAAGCAAGTCGGGTTAAGCTTATAATTTATCTTGTATCAAACTAACAATAAAATTCACACTTAAAATAATTTATATAAACTGAAGTCATTTAGACTAAAATTTGACTTGCCTAACTCGTTTACATCCCTAATTATTCCTTATTATCTTGAGCCTCCTATCAATTTAGAATATCCAGTAGAGTATCCCAAAATTTATACTTTAGAAACAATGTTTAACCGCAGCAAACAGGGGAATCAGGCTGGCAAAAGTGTCGGGTCATCAAAATCTATCACTTAGGCACCGTAATCCCATGATTTGAGATGGATATTGGATAAATTGGGCTAGTTTACTTAATTGGGTATCAGGATTTAGAGAAATGAAAAATATACTTGCTGTTTGGGTATGTACCAAAACACATCAACGTGTGCATGTTACTATTCGGAAAGGATTTCTTATGTATGCTTGAGAGAAACTATGGATGGCTCACATCGGAAATGAATATCACAATTCTGCAGTATAATATTAAGGAAACAATTCTGCAGAATTCATTAGATGGGTAAGCACCAAATCAATAAAAACTCAATATACTGATTATTGAACTTGCACCGAAAAAGATGAATTTTGCATGCAGCTATTTGGGCTATCTTTAAGCTGCCTCAATTATGCTCTACAATACAATAATTAGGTTCTCATTTATCCATAACTGTTGCTTGTAGATTTTGATATGAACCTCCTTGTCTCCAGCATTCCAAGAAAAATCTTGATGCTCATTTGAACACGTAATAAGGAATCTTAAGTGTTTTTTCTCTTGGTCTCATGGCTCCACTGTCCGCCTGAACCAAGAGAGCAATCATCCATGGGACTTCCTTTCCATTCTCATTTTCTTGTTCTTGTTGATTTTTGGTTTCCATTGCTACATATGTTTCCTTGTGGTTGCTTTAGTTAATAAGGATTAGTTCTTGATAATTGGTGATATTGATTTCAGATTCACCATGATTTGATTCTCTTGCTCCTTGTTTTTTTACAACAGTTTCAAGCATACTGATAAGTTGCTCTTCCAACATCAACAATTTCAAACCAGATAAATCTGAAACCAACTTCACCCTTTTTCGAGAACAAATCCTCGTTAACTAAAGCAACAATAAGAAGAACATATTCATAGCAATGGAAATAAAAAATCAACCAGAACAAGAAAATGAGGATGAGAAGGAATTCCCATAAGTTCTGGTGGAGCCACAAGGCCAGGAGAAAAACACACTAAGATTGCCGCAGAAGTGCATCAATATTTCGTTTTCCTTCAGGGCCTTTGGTATACCAAGATAATACATAGTCTCCGTAAACAACATCGCGGTATTTAGCTGGTGATGACTCATTGATCAGTTCAGAAGCAGGGGAGATCTTGACTGTCTTAGCTGGGTCATGAAATGTTGCCACAGAGAGCCTTGCTCTGTCAGGATTTGTAATTGCCCTATGCTCACAGCTCCTGTACTTTCCATTTGTTATAATCTGGTCCAAAAGATTTTTCTATTAGAGTACAAGTTTGCTGATTTTTTTTTTTCTTGTTAAAATCAAATCCACCATTCTCTTCCTCCAAATTAAACCTTGTTAACATCAATTTCATGAATGAATAAGGTATCAGTAAAACATAAAGGAGTCACAAATTATCAGAATCCACTGTTAAGCTGTCATATTGTAGAATACTGAATACCATATTTACAAGCAAAATGAAGTAACCAATGCTTCTAATTCAGGAAGAAACATTATTCCCCATAACAGATGGGGGTAGTAATGGTACCCAATTTAACTCCACGTTGCAACCTAATGAATAAGGAGAGAGTGTAATGTTTACCAATTCCTCTTAACCATTATACAAAAAACAAAGGGTTTGTTTCTTCTGATGTTACTTTAAATAATTTTATCTAATGTTCATCAAAACGACGTCGTTTTGGGACGGAAATTATGGTATTTTTGTAATTTTAATTTATTTCAGGGTTATAATAGTCTTTATCACTCTAATTTTTTAATTTTTCAACCCAAAAACGATGTCGTTTCGATGAACATTAGATAAAGTTATCTAAAGTAACATCGGAAACTTTTTTCCCAAAAACAAATATATCTCTTTTCCAAATATATTTTTGCTCCTTACAGTTTACCTTGGCCTTGAAGTGAAACAACTTGCAATATTACATAATACAATAATTTACCCCGTTGAATTTATTGTCCAAATCAAGTTCAATACACAATAAAAACCAATATCCCATATCCCACTCCCACCCTCTTCTCCTAGTAACCAATACTAACACCCCCTGAATGCTCGCAGGACGTACATACAGTGTTTTATTTTTAAAACGATTACCAAGAACGTATGCTATATTAGATGATCATGTATGACAATTTCTAGCCTTAAGTTTTATTTGAATTGAGTTAAAGTCTAATATACCAATCTTATATCTAAAAATGCAGAATGTATTATGAGAATAGTAGTTTCATCTAGATTAGGTTAATAACTTAATATTCGTGCACCTAAGGATCACTAATGACATTTAACTCAAGTTAGTAAGCAATACAACAGAGATTCTCTAAAGTGCTTACTTCATAGAAAAAACTCAATACAGAATGCAAAAATCAAATGTATGAAATGTTGAACTAATTATCCAGAGCTTGTAACTAAAGGGGTATTTTTGTTTACCTCAGTTTGGTCAGCCAAGAGAACAAGAACAGCACCTGACAAGGGTTGCACAGTGACCCAACCACCATTCTTCAGAACCTGAAGACCACACACATCGTCTTGGATCAAAAGGGTAATTGCACCCATATCAGAATGTGATTGCAAACCAAGCGTGAGCTCTGGTTGGGGACACGGAGGGTAATAGCTAATAGTGATGTTCTGATAGAATTCCCCAACAGCATCTTCAATGCACGAATCTCGCAACCCAAGACTCTCTGATATCAAAGCTAGCAACTTTTGCGCCAGAACCTTCATCTCATCACTGTACCTCGCCACAGATTCCCTGTAATCGGAGGGAAAATTGGGCCACCGATTAGGGTTCCGGCGAGAAAGGGGAAGAGTGTGGTGGTCGAAGTAGTCCCTCCAATCGAGGACGGCATCGTTTTGTTCCTGATCGGAGCTCACGAGCATCCGGCTGCCGTACCCCTCCGACGCGGCGGCGCCGGAGGCACAGGCGAATCGCAGCTTCTCCGGCATGGGACAGTCATTGAAGAAGGCGAGACCCACGCGCCGCACGGCGTCTAGGAGGGTAACCGGAACACCGTGATTGGTGACGTGGAAGGCGCCCCACTTCCGGCAGGCCCGCCCGATTTCTTCCCGGGTCGAATCGCGGAGATTCGGGTCGAACCCGAAGAGGTCGATGACCGGAATGTTGACATCGTGATCGGGTATAATTGTTGCGGGTGGGTTATTTCGAACGGGTCGGTTCTGAGGAGGCTGGATGTATTCAGATGGGACCCGACCCGATTGGGCTAGGGATTGCACACTGATGGGTTCCATTGGATAAGAACGGAACCGAACAGAGTCATATGAGAATGAAGAGGAACAATACTATTACTAACGTTACAGATGATTAATGTTAACTAATGCCTGTTTGTATTGTGTTTTGTTTAATTAGAACTAGATCAAATAAGTTTTGAGAAAAGTTCTTATAACGAAAAGTTTATTTTTATACTGAAGAAGAAAAAAAGTTGAAAACTAAAAGTTTCTAGCAGGAGCTTTTTTTTTTAAGCTCTTATATGTTTTTATTGAATTGTGTGTTTTTTTTTTTATAATGAAGAGTGATAAAGAGAGAGATAATTTTCTTGAAATATGTGCTTATAAGTAATTTTTAAACTAAAACTTTTATGTAATTTCTAAACAACTTTTAGCTTCTTTTTTTAAGCTCTCCCTTTTAACTTTAACTTATAAGTAACTTTTTTCTTCGGTTTGGAATCTGATTTTCTTAAAGAATATATTTAATGTTTTTATTATTATTTTTTTATTCTGGTTTTTAAGATGATGTTAAAATACAGGTTTTCAAAGTACGGTAACTTTTAATGATAATAAAAAGAAATTTATTATTCTTATGTTACATAAGATATAATAATTTATTTTCTACACACATAAATTAAAATTGGGTTTCACTTTTTTTTCTCCCCCTAAAAATGGACCCCATTTACTTAAATGAGTCAATAGGAGATAAGTAGATAATACTTATCTCCTATTGAATAAGAAAACTATTACCCTAACAAAAATGGCTTTAATGTTTGGATTATATTTATCATATTTTACATGAGATAAACAATTTTTTTACACACACAAAAGAGGAATAAGTCCCACCACTCTTTTTTCTATCTCCTCTTACCTGTGGGTCCCCTTGTAATTTTATTTCTACAATATGAGGTAACTACTTTCCTAAAGCATAAGAAAAATATTTCCCTTATGTTTATATCGCAAATGTGATAAGTTATCTACATTCGTTCCTAAAATGACATCGTTTTGGATTGAAAAATTAAAAAACTATAATGAAAAGATATTATAACTCTGAAATAAATTATAATTACAAAAATACCATGATTTTCGCCTTAAAACTACGTTATTTTGGGCTTAATGTAGATAAATTATCTACATTGACTGTAGAAAAAGTGATCCCAATAAAAATAAGGTTTAATGCTTATCCGAGTTATGTCATTTTAAGAAGAAAAAATGTACAAACTATAAAAATTATGCGAGAGAAAGTATACGTTTTTTAATTTAAATTTTAAATAAAAATATTAATTTAATTATTTCTCTCTGCTAAAATGATATAACTTTATTTTTTTAAAAGGACACATATTTTTTTCTAAAAATTAATATTGCAATCTTTTTTTTTTTGGCAAAATATTACGTTTCTAAATTATAATTAAGCTACAACTCAACTCATTACCAAAAAGTAAATTTTATCTTTTAAATATTTTAAATTAAAATTAAGTAAGTTACATTAAAAAAATGACTTGTCTAATTTTAAAAAATAAAGTATGACATACTTCCATATAATATATATGACTTATCTAATTTTTCAAAAAAATTAAATTTGAGTAAATTGAATATTAGGAATATGACCTAATTAATTTTTGTTAAAAAAATTAAATTTGCATGTGTATATTATGAGATATATTATGTTTATGGGTTCGTTTTTTCTGCAGTTACTGGACATAAGTTATCTGCAGTAAGCTCAATACGACGTCGTTTTGGGACGAAAATCATGGTATTTTTGCAATTTTAATTTATTTTAGGGTTATAATAGTCTTTATATTTATAATTTTTTAAGATTTCAATACCAAAACGACGTCGTTTTGGGAATAAATGCAAATAACTTATCTGTATTAACTGCAGAAACATTTTTCTCTATGTTTATTTTAGGGAGAGAAGTGGATAAAATTGATATGAAAAAAAAAACATAAATTATGAGTGTTATTAATTATATGTTAAATGAGATAAGTTGTTTTATGTCATAAATATAAATATATGAGTCTCACAACTTGAAAAAAAAAAAGAAACTGCACAATTATCAAAGGTATAGTTTTTCTCATATATTATATTGGAATAAAGTATCTAATATTATTTCTATAAAAAAAAAATATCTAATATTATTACAAAAAAAAAATCTAATATTACTTTAGAATTTTTTTTCTAATATTTACAAAAACAATATTTTTTGATTTGAAAAATTAAAAAATTAAAATAATAAAGATTATTTTAATTTTAAAATAAATTAAAATTATAAATAGACCATAATTTCTATTCTAAAATTTTTTGTTTCGGTGAAAGTAACGTTAAAAAAAAATGAACCAATATTATATTTATAAAATTCAACTTTCTCTCAAATAATATTAAAAGAATATTTTATAACTAATCGTATATTCCATGTACAAAATACAACTTCAGTAAAATAAATAATATTAAAAAATATTGTCAAGGTTTGAGGTTTTTCACTTATCCCTACGGCAACAAAAACAAGGACACTGTGTTGTAAGCCGCTTCTTCACTTCACTGTGTTATTGCCATCTCCTTTAAACTTAGCCATATCAGTTTCTCTTAGGAAAAATGCATCAATCTCTCTTAGGCTTACATGAAAATGAGAGAAAATATTTGAGGGTTTGATGGAGATGCATGGGAGAAGCTATGAACCTCTTACAAGGGTGCTGAGCCGGTCAAGAAGGTACGTCTTCAAACTTTGTTGGGAGGAGGATATTTGAGAAAGGAAAGGTTTAGAAAGATTTGGAGGAAGAAAACACTTTTATTACTACACAACTCTTTTTTTCTCTTTGGCTTTTTGGCTTGATACAAAATGATGGAGGACACACCTATTTATACTAGTGGCACCTCCTTAACCAATGGCTAGGATTATGCCAACACTGTTCTCATCTAATGGCTACAAATCATTCTCTAGAATTCTCCACAATTTTCCTAGCCTAGATATTTTCATGGTAGTTTCTAGGTTGAACTATTCTAGATATTTCCATGGAGTAATCTAGAGTGAATTACTCTAGAATTTGGGCTAAACTACTCCTAAAGATTATTCTAGAAGTTGGGCCAAATAATAACTAAGCCCAATGGACCAAAAACTAATTAAATCAAGTTTATTTATTTATTCAACTCCCCCCTTAAACTTGATTTTGTAACTCCAAGCAATTTTCTCATCTTGACAAAGTCTTCATTCTTGAGTGGCTTGGTGAAGATATCTGCTGCTTGTTCTTGAGACTTGACATATTTTATATGCACCTCATTTCTTGCAATGCATTCCCTTATAAAGTGATAGCGTGTGTCAATGTGCTTACTTCTATCATAGAAGACTGGATTCTTTGCTAATGCAATGACAGATTTGTTGTCAACAAAAATATTGGTTGGCTCCTCTTGTTGCATATTCAACTCCTTCAGCAAGTTCCTTAGCCAAATGGCGTGGCAAACACACGATGTAGCTGCGACATATTCGGCTTCATAAGTAGACAGAGTGACAATAGGTTGTTTCTTTGACATCCATGTGAAAGCAGTATCTCCCATATAGAGCACAAATCCAGTGGTATTTTTTCTATCATCCATGTCTCCAGCCCAATCACTATCACTATATCCAACAAGTTTATATTCATTAGAGGATGAGTAAAATAAGCCAAAGTTGATAGTACCTTTAATGTAGCGGAGGATTCTCTTTGCAGCCTTCAAGTGCGTGGTAGTTGGAGTCTCCATGCAACGACTAACGAATCCAACAGCAAAGAGGATGTCAGGTCAGGTGCATGTCAAGTAGCGTAAACTTTCAACTAAGCTTTTGAAGAAAGTAGGATCAATATCTTCTCCTTCACCATACTTGGACAACTTAACTCCACATTCCATTGGGGTGTTGATAGGCTTGCAATCGTCCATCTTGAATTTCTTCAGTATCTCCCTTGCGTAACCTTCTTGAGTGATGAAAAAACCTTCTTCTTTCAGCTTGATTTCAATGCCGAGATAGTATGCCATTTGTCCAATGTCAGCCATCTCAAACTCCTTCTTCATCACTTTCTTAAACTCTTCAAACATCCTTGGATTGTTTCCGGTGAAGACTAGATCATCCACGTACAAGCACACGATCAAAATATCTCCATCTTTGAGCTTGACATAAAGTGCATGGCGTAAGGGCATTTGATGAAACCATTCTCTTGGAAGTACTTGTCTATTCGACTATTCCAAGCTTTTGGTGATTATTTTAGCCCATAAAGTGCCTTCTTCAGATTCAATACCTTATCTTCATGTCCTTTGACTTCGTACCCTGCTGGTTGCTCGATGTACACTTCTTCAAGTACTCCATTTAAAAATGCTGACTTTACATCCATTTGGTGTATGCTCCACTTGTTTTGAGCTGCCAAAGAAATAATTAGTCTAATAGTTTCTAAGCGAGCAACAGGAGCAAATACCTCATCATAATCGATTCCTGCTCGTTGACTATAGCCTTTTGCCACCAATCGCGCCTTGTATCTTTCAACTTCTCCCTTGGCATTCCTTTTATCTTTGTAGACCCACTTCACACCAATCGCCTTGTGCCCTTTTGGAAGTGAGGCTAGCTCCCATGTTTTGTTCTTCTCAATCGCATTGATTTCTTCATCCATAGCATTTCTCCATTTCTTGCTTTGAACGGCTTCTTGAAAACTCACTGGTTCACAATCAGCAAAGAGGCAAAACAAAGTGAGATTATCTTGATTTTTTGTTACCTCATAAAGTTCTTGCAAGCTCTTGAAGCGTGGTGCTCTTTCGCTTGAACTTCCAGATGACAATGGTTCTTGTTGTTGACTTCTGATTGGTGAAGTTGGGGGAGTCATGGTGCTCTTTCTCTTTCTTGCTCCATGGATTTAATATTGATATATCAAAGAAAGACAAGAAAAATGTCTCATTTATTGATATCAAAATGCAACTTTTCTTTCCTCTGCTAGGGGTTTGATAAAAGCCGAATATGCCGGCAAATTCATGTAATTCGTAATTTGATATCAATAAATGAGAAATTTTTCTTGTCTTTCTTTGATATATCAATATTAAATCCGAGGTACAAAAGAGGCAAAACAAAGTGAGATTATCTTGATTTTTTGTTACCTCATAAAGTTCTTGCAAGCTCTTGAAGCGTGGTGCTCTTTCGCTTGAACTTCCAGATGACAATGGTTCTTGTTGTTGACTTCTGATTGGTGAAGTTGGGGGAGTCATGGTCTCTTCTCTTTCTTGCCCCATCCTTGGTTGCTCCATCTCTTCATCTTCCATTAAATTGGGAAGTAAGTTGTAGTTTTCATCATGTAGACCCCAATTCCATTCTTCATCTTCATTGAATTCCACATCTCGGCTAATGATGGTCTTTCCATATTTAGGATTGTAAAGTTTATAGCCTTTAGAGTTAGAGTCATACCCTATGAAGATGAGCTTCTCATTTTTGTCATCAAGCTTGGACCTCTTCTCATCATGAATATGTGCATAGGCTATGCTTCCAAACACTCTCGGGTGGGAGATCCCAGGCTTTCTTCCACTCCATGCTTCTTGTGGTGTCTTTCCCCACACGCTCCTTGTTGGCGAGCGGTTTAAAAGGTAGACTGCAGTTGCAACAGCTTCAGCCTAGAACTCCTTTGGCATCTTTTTGCTCTTGAGCATGCTCCTCGCCATGTTGAGAATGGTTCTATTCTTCCTTTCAGCTACTACATTTTGCTACGGGCTTCTTGGAACGGTTAAAGGCCTTCGGATTCCATTATCATCACAAAATTCTAGGAATTCTTTAGAAGTGAACTCTCCACCTCGATCGAATCTCATTGCCTTGATCTCGCATCCAATTTCTTTCTCCACACTAGCCTTGAACTTCTTGAAGACTCCAAACACCTCTGATTTTTGCTTTAGGAAATACACCCATGTCTTTCTTGAGAAATCATCTATGAAGAGAAGAAAGTAATTACTCTTACTGAGTGAGCTTGGCTTCAATGGTCCACAAACATCTGTATGTATGAGCTCGAGCGGCTTGTTGGCTCTTGACAAAGATTCCTTTGGAAAGCTCTTTCGACATTGCTTTCCAAATAGACATCCTTCACATAGTTGGTCAGGTTGACTGATGGAAGGCAATCCTCTCACCATCTCCTTATTGTATAGCAACTCAAGACCACTAAAGTTGAGGTGTCTGAATCGTAGATGCCACAGCCAAGATGCATCCTTGTAGCAGGCTTTAAGACACTTTGCAATGTCGTGTTGAATGTTCAACAGAAACATTCTATTTCTTGATATAGGCACCTTAGTAATCAAGTTATTTTGATTATCTCTTAAAGAAAGAGTATTATTTTTTAAGTGAACATCATACACTTTCTCTAAGAGTTGCCCTAGACTCAAAATATTATTCTTCATGTTGGGCACATAGTACACATTAGAAATGAATTCATGCCTCCCGTCTTTTAATCGGATAAGAATCTTACCTTTGCCTTTCACTGGTGTCTTTGATTCATCTCCAAATGAGACATTTCCATTCACCGATTCGTCAAGTTCCACGAACATGTTTCTTTTTCCACACATGTGATTGCTTGCCCCTGAGTCTAAATACCATGTATTCTCCTATTCTCCTACATTGTTGTTGCGTGCCATCAACAGAGTGCCATCTTCTTGACTTTTCTCTTCCACATAGTTTTCCTTCTCTTCAATCCTCCTTGCAAGGGCTCTACATTCAGAAGCATAATGGCCGAACCTTTGACAGTTGCAGCACTTGATTTGTGATTTCTCACGCCTTGGTTGGAAGCCACCTCTTCCACGACCTCTTGTTGAGCTTTCTCCTCGATCTTCATGGGCATAGTTGTTGTTGAAGCCTATACTTCTACGTCCACGACCTCTTCCTCGACCACGATATCCTCCTCGTCCTCTTGTGTTGCCAAAGTCTTCTTCCTTTCCTTTGAAGTTGAGTTGTGTCTTCAGTAATTATTCACCAACCCCTTGCTTTTTCTTTTGCTTCTCTTCATATGCTTGTAAGGAGCCCAAGAGTTGCTCTATTGTCATAGCTTCCAAATCTTTTGTTTCTTCTATGACAGTGACAATATGATCGAATTTCGAATCTAAAGATCGCAAAATTTTCTCTATAATTTTTACATCATCTATCTTTTCACCATTTCTTTTTAATTGATTAGTCACCGTCAAGACTTTAGAAAAATAATCGGAGATACTTTCGGCATCTTTCATGTGTAAAGTTTCAAACTCACTTCTTAGAGTTTGAAGACGTACCTTCTTAACCGGCTCAGCACCCTTGTAAGAGGTTTGTAACTTCTCCCATGCTTCCTTTGCGGTGGCTGCCTCCGAAATCTTCTTAAAAGCATCTTCATCCAATCCTTGATAGATGAGATAGAGAGCTTTCTTGTCTCTCTTTTTTGAATCCTTCAAGCTATCCCTTTGAGTTTGGGATAGAGTGACTCCTTCTTTTGGCTCATCGTAGCCTTTCTCTACCACTTCCCACACATCTTGTGATCCAAGGAGGGCCTTCATCTTGATGCTCCAATTATCATAGTTGCTCTTGGTGAGCATAGGGACTTGGAAAGGAACCATGTTGCTACTTGCCATTTCTCTAGAAAGGATCTTAAGGCTCTTGATACCACTTTGTTGGGAGGAGGATATTTGAGAAAGGAAAGGTTTAGAAAGATTTGGAGGAAGAGAACACTTTTATTACTACACAACTCTTAATTTCTCTTTGGCTTGATACAAAATGATGGAGGACACACCTATTTATACTAGTGGAACCTCTTTAACCAATGGCTAGGATTATGCCAACACTATTCTCATCTAATGGCTACAAATCATTCTCTAGAATTCTCCACAATTTTTCTAGCCTAGATATTTCCATGGTAGTTTCTAGGTTGAACTATTCTAGATATTTCCATGGAGTAATCTAGAGTGGATTACTCTAGAATTTGGGCTAAACTACTCCTAAAGATTATTCTAGAAGTTGGGCCAAATAATAACTAAGCCCAATGGACCAAAAACTAATTAAATCAAGTTTATTTATTTATTCAACAGAAAGATACAGAGTTAGCAATGAAATGGAAAAATGCATCAGTTTCTTTATTTCAATATTAAAATAGATACACAAGGTTTAAACTTAACCATATCAGTTTGGGACATTATTCTAAGAGTCTGACACCTAAGCTAATTGCTGGCACACTCGGTTTGTTGTGGGGACCTGAACCATAAATAACATACCCAAAATAAGATCTACATATGAAGGATGTTCATGTAGTTGTCAATGGTTTAGCATTATAATAGGAACACTGCACGAGTAAAGAGTTTGAAAATAGTCATTATGACAGAAATAGTGTTGACATTTAAGGAGTGAAAAAAAAAGCCACGAAACATACCTGATGTTTGCGTATCCTAGAAACAACATACAAATAAATGGTAAAAACGCTGACTAACAAGAGGACCAACAGTAAAAAATGTCAAAAGAACTTTTATTCATTCCATCCTTGTCTCAAATTCAGCACCAGGTTAAACATACATCAAATTTGGGTGAGAATCATACCCATCGAAGAACCAACACATGAATCCACCTAAATCAACACAACTTTCTCCAGCTATCTTCTTCATCCCTCCATCTCTCCTGACCCTCCTCATATATGTCATTTTCTCCCACATCCCTACTTCAGCATGCATGTTAACAAGAAAAAATGAATTCTCTCCCCTCCTTGGCTCCATTAACCCCTTCCTCACTTTATCCCTTATCCTTGTATAGTCATGAACATCATGAACAAAGCATGCACTAAGCAACGTCCTCCAAACAATTGGGTCAGGTTCAATAAGCATGCTCAGTATATTTCGGTAAATAATGATTCAAGGGCCTACTGTAAAGTTTACTCATCGTAAACAAAATTCAACCAATATTGCAACATTACCATTAAAGAGTTTGAAAATAGTCATTACGAGAGAAATAATGTTGACATTTGTTTAAGGAGTTAAAAAAAAAGCCACCAAACATGCCTGATGTTTGCTTATCCTAGAAATAACATACAAATAAATGGTAAAAACTTTGACTAACAAGAGGACCAACAACACAAAATGTCAAGAACTTTTATTCATCCCGTTCATGTCTCAAAATCAGCACCGGGTTCAATCCATCTAGCAAATGATAAACAAGGATCAAGTTTGGGTGAGAATCATACCCATCGAAGAACCAATACATGGGTCCACCTAAATCAACACAACTTTCTCCAGCCATCTTCTTCATCCCTCCATCTCTTCTGACCACCCTCGTATTTGACGCTTTCTCCCACATCCCTACTTCAGCATGCATGTTAACAAGAACAAATGAATTCTCTCCCCTCCTTGGCTCCATTAACCACTTTATCCCCTTATCCCTGTATAGTCATGAACATCATGAACATTGCATGCACTAAGCAACATCCTCCAAACAATTGGGTCAGGTTCAATAGGCATGCTCAATATATTTCGGAAAATAATGATTCAAGGGCCTACTGTAAAGTTTACTCATCATAAACAAAATTCAACCAATATTACAACAATACCATTAAAGAGTTTGAAAATAGTCATTATGAGAGAAATAGTTTTGACATTTATTTAAGGAGTTAAAAAAAAAGCCACCAAACATACCTGATGTTTGCTTATCCTAGAAATAACATACAAATAAATGGTAAAAACTTTGACTAACAAGAGGACCAACAACACAAAATGTCAAAAGAACTTTTATTCATCCCGTTCTTGTCTCAAATTCAGCACCAGGTTCAATCCATCTAGCAAATGATAAACAAGGATCAAGTTTGGGTGAGAATCATACCCATCGAAGAACCAATACATGGGTCCACCTAAATCAACACAACTTTCTCCAGCCATCTTCTTCATCCCTCCATCTCTTCTGACCACCCTCGTATTTGTCGCTTTCTCCCACATCCCTACTTCAGCATGCATGTTAACAAGAACAAATGAATTATCTCCCCTCCTTGGCTCTATTAACCACTTTATCCCCTTATCCCTGTATAGTCATGAACATCATGAACAGTGCATGCACTAAGCAACATCCTCCAAACAATTGGGTCAGGTTCAATAAGCATGCTCAATATATTTCGGTAAATAATGATTCAAGGGCCTACTGTCAATGAAGCACCGATTCGTTAAAAAAAAATTTCCACGTATCCGATACGCGTCTGGGACTGGTGCGCTTCTGACACGGCTTTTGCAGTATCGGATGGGTCAACGACTTCTTCGATACGGTCAAATGGATATTGTATATCTTTTTTTCATTAATTATCGTACATGAAAGAGACAGTCTACCTAATATAGTCGGTTATCCTCATTCATTCTTTTTTTTCTTTACTATCGTACATGAAAAGGGCATTAATAATATTGTATATCTTTTTATTTTTATTTTTGGGAAACATTATAATATCGTATATCTTTCTTCCCATTTTTATTACTAATCCTTTTGATAATAAAAAATTAAAATAAAATCAATTTTGTTCAATAATATTTTACACACGATTTAAATTACCATTTATACTTTAATCTTTTCTCTTTTTTATGTGTCATTGTTATTATTGTTGGTCATTGATTTTTTATTTATTTTTGTACTATGTTAATTATTTATGCTTTTGTCTTGATTTTCTTTTTATTTTATGTATTCTTTAAATTTTATGATTCTGTATGAATAATCTATTATCTATGCTTATAATTTTTCTTTTATTATATTTTGTTAATGTAAAATACATTCTTTATATTAAAAATATTATTTAATACTAAGACGTATCGGAACGTATCGAAATATTAGTATTTTTGAAGTAACGTATCGACATCACGTATCGCGAACGTATCGAAAATGCCGTGTCGGTATCGGTGCTTCATAGCCTACTGTAAAGTTTACTCATTTGTAAACAAAATTCAACCAATATTGCAACAATACCATTAAAGAGTTTGAAAATAGTCATTATGAGAGAAATAGTGTTGACATTTATTTAAGGAGTTAAAAAACAAAAGCCACGAAACATACCTGATGTTTGCTTATCCTAGAAATAACATACAAATAAATGGTAAAAACTTTGACTAACAAGAGGACAAACAATACAAAATGTCAAAAGAACTTTTATTCATCCCGTTCTTGTCTCAAATTCAGCACCAGGATCAATCCATCTAGCAAATGATAAACATGGATCAAATTTGGATGAGAATCATACCCATCGAAGAACCAATACACAAGTCCACCTAAATCAACACAACTTTCTCCAGCCATCTTCTTCATCTCTCCATCTTTCCTGACCACCCTCGTATTTGCCGCTTTCTCCCACATCCCTACTTCAGCATGCATGTTAACAAGAACAGATGAATTCTCTCCCCTCGTTGGCTCCATTAACCACTTCCTCACTTTATCGCCTATCCCTGTATAGTCATGAACATCATGAACAGTGCATGCATTAAGCAACGTTCTCCAAACAATTGGGTCAGGTTCAATAGGCATGCTCAGTATAAAGTCATAAGCTTCTCTAAGAAGGTCAGCACAGCCCAAGATATCAACCATGGCTTCATAATGAATCATCACGGGTTTTCTGGTCCAGCCTTCACATTTCATATCATGAAAATATCGGCAACCCTCTTCTACCATCCCAGCCTGGCTGAAGGCGCGTAGAACCCCAAGATCGGATTGATAATTTGAGACAATGTTATCATTGTTCCTCATCATGGTAAATAGAAGGGCTTCCTCAGCGAACCCATGCTGTGCTAACCCCAATATCATTGCACTATATGTCCCCGAATCTGTGTTTCTCTTTTCCATTTTCTTGAAAACAAGCCTGGCATAACCCATAGATCCAGACTTGGCATACATGTTAATGAGAGCATTACCCAATCGACTACTCAGAATCATCCCTCTCAAGACCAATTGGGAATGAACCAACTTCCCCAGGCTCAGGTACCCAAATTCAGCACAAATAGACAGCAACACCACCATGGTAGCCTCGTACGGCCCAAGCTCAGAATTCCTAAAATACCTAGTTGCGTCACGTAACCAAAGATTCTCAACACAAGCAATAATAAGCGAGTTCAAAGAAACAAATGTTCTATCAAGCTCTTCACCAAACATTTTATTCGAATAAAAAATTCTGTTGTAACGGGCATTATAGTTGATCTCCCTGCGATAAAGGTTGATCAGATCCCTACCAACGTAGACCTCAGAAGCATCCGGATTCACCTGCTTTCCATGACCAAGTGCAGTAAGCATTTTCAATCCATCTGGCAAATGATAAACAGTAGTCAGGCGAAAATCATTAATATCTCCAGGCAACGTCCCTGGCAACAAATCCCTATAGAGGGGAATCGTTAATCGTTCTTCTAATTCCTGGTTAAATTCTTCTCGCACCATCTCATATATAATATCTATAGACGGAGGATATGAGCTTGTGGCGTAACCCTTGATCCACGAAATCGGTGATGGGTTGGCGAAGCGGTGAACGAGTTTTCGGGCATGGTTCAGGTTCTTGAAGGGAGAGAGAGAACAAAGTAAAGAGCACATCTTTGGTGTTTCTTATGGAGGGACTGTGTGAGCCGGCGGCTGGCGTTATATTCAACATGCCAATCTCACAGATGACTAATTATAGTAAGATAGATAGGTTAATGACCAAATTTATTCGAAGGGCACGGTGTGCCAGAGCATATCTTTGGTGCTAAGAGGAGCTAGAGCCGCCAAAACAAGCTCGGCTCGGTGGGCCAACCCGCCTAACCCGTTAAACGGGACGAGACAGACTGAGTTTTTCAATCCATCTGAAAAGCGGAGCGGGTGGACGGGCTCATTTTTTGACGGGTTTATGGCGGGCATAGGCGTGCCGAGGCGGGTCAGTGTAAAATAGACTCAGGCTAACGGGCCAACCCGCCCAACTCGTCAAACGGGGCAGGGCAGGCTGAGTTTTTCAGCCCACTTTCAAAAGCGGGACGTGACGGGCTGGCTCTTTTTTTGACGGATTTGGGCGGGGCGGGCCGGGCCGCCCACTTTGCCACCTCTAAGAGGAACATATTTTTGGATGTTGTATTAGGATTTTAAAATATTATTTTAAGATAAAAATTTTAATAAGATTTTAAATGATTATTTAGAATTATAATGATTTTAAAAAAAATTAAACAAACAAAATTTTATAAAATTAAATTTTAAAATTTTTTAATAGAATTTTTAAGATTTGAAACGAGATTTATAAGATATATATATATATATATATATATATATATATATATATATATCGAAAGAAAGTACCATAATACACAAAATAACATGAAACTCACCATATATAATTATTATGGGTTTTATTAATCTCCTTTTGCATAAGATGGGTATCTTATGTTGTAGAGAGAAACTGGGTGGGTCCCACAATTACAAGAAAAAAGAAAAAGAAAAAAAAAGTGAGGTGCGAAAATCGAAGTGAGAGAAAATGAGATAAGTTACCCCATGTAAAAGGAGAATAATATTTTCCAATTATTATATATGTGAAGTGACCAGCGGGTGCCATATAACCACCTCAGCTACTTTGCAAACCAATAAAATAAATCACTGGCCTTTTCAGAATCAAAGTTACAACTTATAAGAATCAAATACCTATTATGACACTTTTTGAGTCTCTGCCAAGGAATAATAACTTCATAAGTATAAAACTTTTTTTTTTTTTTTTTTTTCAACTAATCTACCCCATATTGCAAAGTCTAAAATTGACCACCTTGGAAGGTCTGACCAAAATGCCAATTGGCTGGTGCCACATTGAAGCTTGTCACAGTTCTACCATCACTGGAGGTGACTTGAGAAGTGAGGCTTTGTCCATTGAGGTAGGAGTTGCTCTGCCAGTTTTGACCCCAGTTCCTTGACATGGGTTGCCACCCAGTTCTGGACCCTTTGATACATCCCCAGCACCACCCACATTTGTGACCAAAACTAGGTTGAAGTAAGAGTGTCCATTGATAGTGAACCTTGTTCCTCCCTTTTTGACACATGGCACCCTGTCATAACACATAACTAAGAAAGGTGAATAAAATAGGATTTATAATGATAAGTTACAAGATATTCAAGTCTTTTTAATTCAAGATCAATTTCATATCAAAGCTTGGGGTTGAGGTTTGGTAGAAGCTACACCAATTTTCCTATGGTCATGAATAGGCCATGTGCTACAAAGAAAAATAAGTGCTTGATCTTTATGAGGTTTCCAATGAGGGGAATGGATTGGTTTTCAACATTTAATCTCTTCACTTTATAAATTAGGCAACACAGTTGTATATCTGTTAAGGAATTAATGGAACCTTAAAGATTGAGATCATTGCCAAACTTATGGCTTCACTTACCTTCTAAACGCCACAGGCACAATTCCAGCCCTATATTGTGCAATTTGAAGGAAGGCTGGTTCAGCCATATCAAAGTGTTGCAAAGGAGGGTTGCACCAACCACCATTGTTGTTTGGCAAAGATGGGTTTGGTGGACAAAAGTTTGTAGCAGTAACAATAATATAGAACCAGGTTTGCACCATCTTGGGTCATCATCACATCTCATTTCATAGCAAGCTCCACAGATTAAGCCATTGTAGAACAAAGCAGTGCTTAAGGCTGCAGTGTCAGTTCCATAACCCTGGCTATACAAAATCCCATAGCCACATGCTCCTCCTGCATATATGAAACAAAAGTATAAACCCCACTATCTCAATAATCATCAAACCCTCTAATAAACAAAGTAACAAACAAAATTTTCCTTCACAAAGATAAAAGGAGCAGTGTTGACTTGGTTTATCGTGAATTCTATAACCAATGTTTATTCATAAATCCAAGATGAATGAAAACAAGATTTGATCATAAACCTTGCAAATAAGTACAAACAATAGACATGATAATATATTTATCATCTAAAGCATAATTTAAAATTATGAATATGTGTAAATTATAAAATTTAATAATGAGTGTGTTGCCAATATAGAGCATGGCACCTATATAACGCACAAAAAAGGTCTAAATGAGCTATAATAGCTTAACTAGCACTGTCCTTTTCTTAAAAAAAAATGTCAGTTGTCAATTTTTTTTATTAAATTATCATTACTCAACTAGAAAGGGAAAAAAAAAAAGGCACAGCATATTTGAAATTTGAATCCTAATACAAAATGTGTTTAGTTTCATTAAGTAAAAAACAAAGAAATGTATGTACTAAAAAAAAAAACAAAGAAATGAAAGGCTAAACTCACCCATTGTGCCAGAAGCATCACCCCCACCATAGAATGTAGCATGAGCACTCTGCCAGCCACCATGGTTAGCAGTGCACCCAGCAGGTTCATGTTGATAAAGAGAACATTGAGAATCATTAGAGCAATAGAAAATTCCTGGTGTGTGTTGGTAGTAATTTTCAAATGAAAAGAGTTATCGTTCTCGGGGAACAGGTTGAATTAATTTCTTTTTTATTCTATTCCTAAATTCTTGAAATTTAAATATTCAATCTTTGAATCAAAGTTTTTATCAAAATTGTATTAAACAAAAATAATAGAGGAATATCTAATCACAAATGTAACAATTATACGGTACTGGAATTCTTGAATCATGGATGAAGACAAAATTCGCATTCCTGCGTTTTACAACTGCTATGGCACTTTAATATCAGAATTTGAACTACTATGACTATTTTAGCTGAAACTTCCCAGTTCCAGTTTTAATCTTTAAAATGATCTTTTCCCAAAGTCTTCTAAATCTTCAAAAATTATATCAAAGACCTCCTTGGGTTATCCCTAACCTCAAGGGTTCAATTAACAAGTAACATAACCTGATATCCCAATCATAGCTATGCTAAAATTATTCAAGACCCATTGCCATGGTGTTCTTGAACATAAAATCAGAATCTTGCTAATTAAATGAGATTAAAGAACACCTCACAATTTTAAAAAATATACAGAGTCACCCAATCATCTTGAATCCCAGAAACAGAATTTAGAAACCCATACTAACAAACAAAAATTTCTAAATCTGAACTGAAATTTACATGCATTACAAAATATAAAGAAAACAGATCTCAAGTAGAAATTACACACCAGTACTTCAAGAATTGAAGATCCTAAACTAGAGCTAGGAAAAACTTGCAGAAATATAGAAACAAAAGCTTGCATGTAGATCCTTGATCCCTTCCACGAAGATGCGTTGTCAGTGCATTTCGAGTTCAAGAATTGGAAGAACAATGCGCTTTCAAGAAATCTCAAAAATACTCAAAATCTTTCAAAAGCAAAAATAACGAAGACTGAAATCTCAATCTCTATCTAAAACCTGGTCTCTGTACATGGCTAATACATTTGCTACTAACTAACAAAACTAAAGAGATATATCCAAAGTGCTATTTGTGCCGTCTATCCACACTTAATCCAATGGTTCAGATTTGTTCTCACTTTTAAAGAGTTGATCACATGGCTCTCTAACTGCAGTAAAGATAATAAAAGAGAATAGTAAATCATCAAATTATCTCTTTCTCTCTTTTACCTTCTTGGACTGATTGGTACTTATTTGGCCCATTACCATGCACTTATATCCAGCCTTCAACTCAAATATTGTAAAAACAAAGCCATTAAAATAATCATAATTTATAGCTAACAGTGTGCCATTCTAAGCTTCTGATGCTTTATGACAAAGCAGAAACAGAGGAGAGAAACAGGGGAAAGTGCAGCTTATTTGCTCTGCTGTGTGGTTGAATGCTTGGGAGGGGGCCTCTATTTATAAGTAACATCTGATTACTAACTTGCGAACAAGTGACAAATCAAGTGCGCATGCTTTGGTTCTAGTTGGGGTTCCCAACCGCTAATCTGGTGGGCCATGCCCCAGCACATGCATCCCCAACCAACTTTATAGACCAATATCAATATTCTTTGATAGCCATTAGTTAAATTTTTTATTTTTTTTTTCCTTTTCTTTCTCACATTTTTCCCACTTCTTTATAATGGATAAATGGATAAGAGCTTAGGTATCATTAGACAGTGCTTGGTGTTAAGAGTCCCAATGATAAAAGAGTTCAAAAGCTAAATTGCACTTTCAATTGAAATGTGTAAGGTCTTAAGGAGATGATAAACAGTATCTTAGCACATGGAGGAGTATCTGTCTATCTGGGCAAAATCAAAAGCAGAAGCTCCTTAAGGACATTGGCATGATACAGTACCCCTTTTCCAATACTCAAGGGTCATGAGGAGAATAGTATCTTCTGTGTGCTTGAGAATGTGCCACATAGGTAGTATTACAATGGCATGCTCATTAATTTTTGCAGTTCTTGATTATAATTGAAGTATTTGGTTGATAATTTAATAGAAACAGCCTTGCTTCCAGTTGGACAAACAGTGGATGGTGGTAGGAGTTGACACAGATATATTAAATTAACCCTGGTGTGTGAGAGAAACAATGGTATTTACTTGGACCCTGCCCTATCAGAATCTTTTATTACATTAATGTGGGAGCTTATATTTGGTGGAAGATCATGTCAAAATTAGTTGTTGCATATATTACACTTACTAATTGATTATGCGTTTGATA